CCAAGCCAAAACGTGGTAATGCCAGCCATATCACGTTTTGACATGAAAAATTCGTAACAATTGTGGCACTATACGTACCTATACTATTTTATTATGATGATATGTATTATGTCGATATTATCATAGTATTTATATTATTATTATATATTGCCGTAGGAAGTCTAGTGTACTTGTCACCACCAATTGGCAGCTTGTTCCTGTCGCTTGTCCAGGCACGGCTTGGCCACAGGGTATGCATGGCGCTCACCAATCTCATTCAGCTGTCGTCAGTGTTGGTCGTGGTCCTTTTCCCGATCACGGTGAGAACCTTGTACGCGTGTTCGATGCTGATGGGCCTGAGCACAGGTTTTGCCACTGGCCTAAGCATATCGTACAGCGGTGAGGTATGTGAACCTAAGCTTAGGGGCTCGTTGACGTCTGCCCTGAATGTGTTCTACTTCGTTGGATTCTTTTTCGTCTCCACCACATACGCCATCACCAAGAACTGGAGACAGTCATTGATTATCACTGTCGCGGTGCCCTTGGCCAACATGATCGCACTGTCACTGGTGAGTTACACTCGCGTAGTCTAGTCCATATAAAAAAATACTAATTTTTTGCCTCCATATGGTTTCAAGTTTTTTTTTTTTTTAATTTCCTTTAATACAATATTTCACTAACCTTAATTTTTCAAAAATATTCTTCCAGGACATACACATGTTTTTTTTTTTAAACTATGAAATCTACTCAATACAATATATACGCTTTAGCTGCAGGAACGTACGTTTTTAATACGTTCGGTATTATATTATTGTTCCATAGTTTTCATTTTATGAAACAACCCAAATTATTGTTCAACAAATTTCGCTTTTAATATTATGTTTGTATGTAGTACGAAATTTGAGGCGTTGATAATAATATTAATACAATAATACATACAATACGGGACGATTAATTCAACACTTTTAATCTGAGACGCATGAGAGTGTCTTCCACTACATGTAATATTTTTCTTTTCACAGACTCCCGACTCTCCGATGTGGCTGTTGTCAAGAGGGAAGATGGAAAAAGCTAGAAAAGTCTTAACGAAGCTTCGGGGATATGTTAGTGAAGAGAAATGCGCCAAGGAATTCCAGGAAATGGTTCAATACGTTTCGCTATCGACCAAATTGGGTAAATATCATATTAWCATAGGTCAATTCCGTGTTTATCGTTTCTAAGTTTACGTCATTTACTCATGACAGTACAAAATCATAATTGTACGCGTTACACAATACATACAACATACATATCAGAAAATGCGCTATAGTTATTAATAAACAGAAGTATGATAAATAAATAATTGTGAAACCAAATTAGTATGATAAGTCTTAAATGATGGGTCCATTTTACAATTTTAAAAATACGTATAATAGTTATAC